AATCCAGTATTATGACTACCGCCACCTTCCACCGCATTTTCGATCGCAACAAGGGCAGAGCTTTTTGGCTGAAACACATTCTTTTCTGCCGTGAATTGACTGCTGAGCAGGATAGTCGCGAAGAATACAGAACAGGCCACCAAAATAAATTTTTTCTATTCCAGCACTCATAACAGGTAAACCAGCTGTACACAATGTTTTAATACCATCAAGAAATCACCTGAAACAAAACCGGAAAGTGTTACAGCACAGTCAGAACAGATGTTTATTTTTAACTTACCAACTACTCTATCTAGTAAATCATATTTCAATGCCGCAGAATCCCACGCAGCAACCAATCTTTTGCACACTTGACCAGAACGATGATCACGTTTCAATTCAATAAAGTCCAGTATATAAAAAACACTATGCATGATTTGTGCGATACAGCATTCGTAATATTCAGATCTTTTAGGAATAAATAACAATTCAAACAGTAAGTATGACCCAGACAGTTAAAACTAGTGAACTTAATACCTGAGTAAAGTTCAATCTTCAGAAACGTTGGATCTTTGAAAGCGAGACATGAAGAAGCCAAATAGCCGTCGCGGATGTCTGTCAGTACTTCATTTGTTGGTAAAGCCAGGCGATTTACATCTGCTCGTACCTCGGGTAATTTCAAAAAGTTAGCCAAATTATCCAGAAACGGTATAAAACTCCACTTGACGTTGATAGATTTATTATTTCTGATCGGTACCTATAACACAGAAACTCATCCGCAAACACATGAAAGGGCGCTGTACTAGTAGGAACGAACCTGAAGACTATCATTTTGCGGACAGCTGTAACCGAAATACTCTTCCGTTTTTTACAATCAATTGTTAACATTTGACATTTGTCTTTAATAGCATAATAGTAGATTGAACAACCCAAGCACAAAACAAACAAACAAGAAGATATATGACTTAGAAAATGTCACACTTATGTCGCTCTATGTTCGCTTTAAACTCACATCGTTATGATTTAATATCCATTCTAGAATGCCGGCTAAATTCATTGCAACATAACTAATTGCAGCTTCTGATACACAATACAGGGATTGCAATGTGAAAAGCAAATGTAAAATTCTTTTAATAAATGACGTATTAGAATCGTTGTTTTGTTGTGCGTGCTCCTCTTGTTGTTGATCTTCCCCTTCTTCCACTTCTCCTGCTTTTTCTTCCATTTCGTTAAATAGCGTGCGATCGTTAATCAAATTATCTAACAGTTCCACTGATCCGTTCTGAACATCACTATCAGTTTTATCAACATCATCGTTTAAACGCCTTTCGTGACGACTACTGATGTGTATTGAAAAACTACGTGCGCTTGAAAATGTGGAGTTACATAAAGGGCATGAAACAATAAAATGTTTATTTATACCATGAGTGGAGGTAAGATGAATCAGATATTTTTTTAGATATGGACAACCGGCCAATGAAATTCGATAGCTGACATCTAAAGAATTCAAGTACTGTAAACGAAACAGGCCTTTCGTGCATCCCGAGTCATGTATCTTACCTCCCGCACCTGCACCAAACAAAAGATTCGTGCAAAAACATGCGAAGAACATACAAACAAGGGTAACCCGAGAACAAATCCAACAACTGTTAAATTACATTTTAAATTCGAGAATATTTACTTGTAGGAAAGAAAATAAAGCACTAGAGAGATATGTTAAAACAAACAAAATCAAAAAGATCAATACTGATCGATCAACTTGCGCTTATATTATACCCATCTACTATTCTTGCTGAAGAGTCTGTCATCCACTTTAGTTCATCATCTTCTCTACTAAAGTGGATGGCATCAACACGCCATCCACTTGTATGGATGATTCCACCCTATAGGTGAATGATTCTCATCCACTTATGTGATGCATGAATTTACAATGTGGAGACATTAACTCAGTGTTAAGAAAGATGATTGGTCGAAAAGTTAACTCGGCGGTAACTCATGTTTTTGACATCATTTAACTTCAATCCCCCCAATCATAAATGAGCTCAGTAACCAACAATATAGGTCTATTGGAGAAACGGAGGTAACACCAATTCTGTGGGGAAACATCTGACTCTCTACACAATTTTTCTGTTTGAACTTAGAAATGCAACTGTAGAACATAAATTCAAACCGGCAAGCTGTTAGCAAGCCGAAATCTTTGAGAATACTAAAGGCAGCAACCAGCACAATTTTAGAGGAAATGTCAAAATCTTAGTGGTGTATTAAAGGTTTAGATATGAACGCGCTCGAAGTTAACTTTGAAAATTTGTGGTCTATCGAAAGAAACGGGCTAAAAAGAACAAATATGTTACCAGAGACGGGCGAGTACACGGATTTTTGAGTAAGAGTACGAGTAGTGAGGGTCGAGTACCACTACGAGTATGAGTACTAGAAATTTTGTACTCGAGTATACTCATACTCGCCCATCTCTGTATATTACCAAATTGATCAATGATTATAAAAACAAAGAAGATGAATAAATATCTCACAGTATCGTTTATACAGTAAAATATCTTGAAAATATCTTTAGGTCACTAGGAAGACTTAGAGTAAATTAACCCATAGAACATTAGCTACTATGTTCTCCATTCACAAACTGATTCACTTTTGTACACTGTTTAGATAATCATGACTTCTTTTTTTCTTAGGAGGAACTGGTTTTAATGTTTTTAATTATCAATTTCATTGACCTATTACTACTGAAACTAGATGTGCCCCAAGGTTAAATCGTTAAGTCAGGATTTCTACTTTCAACATATAGTTGTAATATATGCATAAATTCACAAGCCATGATTATCTGCTTAAGTATTGAATATCTTTTGAAGGTACAATATCTTTTGAATCTGCTTCGTCTCATTTATGTAGATGCATTTAATATGCCCTTTGGAACTATCATATATGGCGTACTTGTTAAATGTTACATTAGGATAATGGTAGCTTGGTTTTTTCCTATGCTTTTTTTTCACATCAAAGTATCATACATTCTATATGACATCATTAAACGTAGTTCTGAAGGGCGTAATAAACGCATCTACATAAATGAGACGAAGGAGATTCAAAAGATATTGTACCTGTGTTAATAATTAATGCATATTTACAGCTATATGTCGAAAGTAAGAATCGTGACTAAATGACTTGAGGCGTATATCTATTTTCAAGCGTTAAGTATTAACACAGGTACAATATCTGTATGTTCTCTCGTGTTAAATTAACGTGATCAGATACTAGATCATTCGCTAAAATCATATATGGCGTTAAGCCATCATAGACGAGGAAATATGTACTCTAATGCGTATGGAAAGAAAACAAAAACCGTTTGTGCGTACAATAATTCTAGTGTCTCTCAACTCTATTTGTTATCAATATACTTGAATCAAAGAAATATGAAATGAAATAATAAAAGAAATGAAAGAAACAACAGCAGAGCAGAACTAAAACGTTTAGGGATTTGATCAAATGAAATTTATGGACGATAGAAAATATGTGAGTAAAAGAAACTAAATTTGAACAAAAGAACTATAACCAAAAACATCGATTCAATCAAAACATCTTAGAGCAACACAACAACATTGGATCAACAGAAAAACATCTATTTCATTAGGTGATAGACGGTTATTTATGGTCACACAATTTATTCTTCGAACTGACTCTGATATTCGCATACCCATCTTATTCCTTGTAGAATGAGTGACTTTAATTTTTTTTCTTGATAGTATCGATGTAAAGCCGCTAAATCAGTCTCATTTTGCTATGGCAGAGAAAAACTTCATTGGCAAAGCTTCGGTAATGCAGATTAGGTTTAAATACTTACATTATCTCTTTCGCACATTTTGTATGACGAAATCAACTGATCAATCGCTATTCGGATTGCTGCTTTATTCACTTCTTGACTTTCTTGTAAATAGATTGTGGAGGATCTAATTAAAGCAAATCGTATTCGAGCAAAGCAATAATTGGAAATTATCAGAAGTCCGTATATGTGGTATACCATTGCTTCACTAAGGAATTCTGGGTAAAGTTTTACTTTATCTTCAAACGATAATGATTGATGCACTCTTATGAGCTGACGACGTTTTAAATACGTTGTAGGCTGTAAATTTTTAATATGCCCCAGTGTCAACGGATCAATGTTTTCGATTCTTTTGCGCTTGTTTTGATTGTTTTTTTCGATTAATTCGCTTTTGAGCTTCTCATATGAAAGATCAATATCTTCCTTATTCTTGTAGCTTTTGACTTGAGGAATGATCGACGATTGTGAATGGATTTTTGGACTTGACCACATATTTTCACTTGAGGATTGCGTAATTGATGGAAGAGTTGATCTTAGAGCAATTGTGCGAACTGAAAGAGTGCAAAATTGTAGTTTTATTCTTCAGTCTTCTAATGATTTACTCGGTGTCATTGTACATAATAACTGTTATGAAGAAACAAGGCCACAGAGAGTTTGTAACTAAAATAAAATGCAAACTTGCCATATTTACATTTTTGGCAAACCTCTGACACATGTCGTAATCAAAATGATTCCAAATTTTCTTTGTTAGCAAAAATTTTGTTAATTACAGAAAAGTTTCCAAATCTTGTCAAAATATGAATGCAGACTTTTGCAGGCAGATTTTCAAAAACACTTGACAAGATCTTCTCAAGAATTGTTGAACATTCTCTGAGATCAAGAAATTTAACAGATCTTGAGCAGATATAACCTTTCTGCAACACGCAGGATCACCATAATTTCTAGTATTTTTGAGGCGTTAGCTATTAAAACCGACCTAATCTTAAAAACAAAATTTTATAAAACTAAAGCATGTCCAATCCAAACGATTCACAGCTTTCCGACTGATAGCTAGGTCTTCATATATATGCGTCCTCGTAAATGTATCAGCTATTTATTATGAATGAGAGTTTTAGTTAGCAAAAATAATATCTTAGATATGATTATAAATATTCGATTTAAAGAAAAAGTT